CAACCTCAGCAGGCAGCTTGCTTTGCTTGGGCTTGTGGTTCTTCGACCTCCTGTCCGGTGCCTCTCCCTCTTCTCTTCTGTGTGTCTCTATCAACATTTCCGTTTCTCAGCAGATGACCTGGACCCTTCTCCTAAACCTCGACTCATAGAGTCCTAGACTGTTAGAGTTGGACATCAACCCCATCCCAGAGAAAGGAAGGCACTTGGCTCTTGTAGGTAGAAGCAGAATTAGGCGGTTACCAGGTCTCCACAAGTCAAGCACATGGTACCCACCCCAACTTTGAGAAACTTCCTTGATTGCTTATTTACGGGGCCAGTTCAATGTTTTGAACGGGGGCTGTTGCTCTGCCCTAGAGAGCCTGGCTGGTTAGGGGCAGGGTAATTGCTGACTGGTTGATGGAAGGGTGGGTCCTGGAGAAGAGGGAACAGCATGTTCTCAAGTCAGTTTGAGTCCTTGAGTCACAAGCCTCTCTCCCCTCTGCCTTTGAAGGTCTGAAGCCACAGGAGTGAGTTTGAATTCTCGAACAATTGAACCTGGTGAATAAGGTGCCCACCACAGGGTGATACATCAGTTTCTGATTTCTGAATGCTCTGGCATAAGATGTGGCCAGACGCCTCCCCAGCCAGTCTCTGTCCCTCCCAGGCCCCGCAACCCGAAGGCTCATGCTGTGGACTGCAGCGAGCAGACCCCTTTCTCTGCCTCCCTACATCCCTGCCAAGCTTGACACATGTGAGAAACTGCATTTTTCTCCCAAACACAGATAAAAGTGAGCTCCACAGAAATTAAAATATAAACCTCCCCAAAATGAAAATGTCCTAACCGTCTGACGGCGCTGCTCCTAGGTCACGGTTGTGCCACCAGATAAATCTCCACTATCAGCCTTCAGAGCCTGTTGAGTTCAATGTTGCTTGTGTTAGTGACAGTGAATTTGCGTTTGAAAAATGAACTACCGATGAGAACTCCTGTTGAACCTGTATTGTTTGTTATTCTGAGGCAAGGATTTGGCCTGGCTTAATCCAGGGCTTCAAAGCCAATTGCCCTCGCTCTGTATACACAGCGTCAGAGCTCAGTGGCGTGGGTGATAAGAGAAGTAAGGGTTGAAGACACTGGGAAAGTGGACCGGGGAGAGAGTGCTTTGATCTCTTTTTAAAGTATTTTCTGAAAGCAAAAGTCTATCAGAAGGAAATGTCTTTTAAAAAAAGAATCTAAGAGCAGCAACTGACCTTCCCAAACAGCATCCATTCCACACACCCTCACTCCTGCCCCCACCTCAGGGAAAATATTTCTTAAAAATGCTCTGAGTGAATTAGAAAACTGTGTGTGTGTGTGTGTGTGTGAAGTGGAAATAAGTGGAAATAAATTACGTAGCTGTGTTATTGCTCTCAGAAATCATTTGGCTACAAAAGATTTGGCCCCATAACAGCCCCCAAACTCAGCCTTGGTTGCTGGGCCCTGGCCTCTTCCCAGCATGTCCCGAATTCTTCCTGAAGATCCCCAGAAACTAGGGACCTTTTTTCCTGCAGCCTGTTCTTTTCAGAATCTGCACTCTAGGTCTCTCTGTGTGTGCGTGTGTGTATAAC